GCTGATTTCATGTAGCCCAGAATTAGGACATATGAGAAAGATGTATTTGAGGATATTAAACTGGGGAAGATAGTTGACTTTTACAGTGTAAACTGCCCTTGCATTTAAGGGTTAATATTTACTGAAAACTTCAAGTTACTATGGTGGTATCACACAGCTTAAAAGTGCAAATAAAAAATAAACACTGATAAAGTAATGTTTTTAGTTCAGACGTCTTTATATGTGGCTGTGTGAAGTGCTAGGAAAAAGTGACAAAGAAAACTTGCCATTTGGCTTGGCTTGGAAAGAAACTTGTTAATCTCCTAGTACAAGTGAGGCATTTGAAGGACAGCTTTATACCTTCTACTCAGAGCTTCAAGGGATGGTTCACCTGTCACCTCCAGTTGTGCCTTTGTTTGCTGCCTATAGCAGTGGCAGACAGTAGAGCAGAGTTGCACTAATCTCGTGCTATGCCAATTAAAGTAATCAGCAGCTACTCTGACTTCTTTGTACCTATGAAGCAGTGCAGAGAACTAATGGCTCCAAAATCAAATGTCTTCTTTAAAAAGACAGTGTCTTAAAATTCCTAGCACTCCATCATTCCTGAACGTTTTCTGATAGTATGCCCTACTTTAAGAATTTACATCAGATATCAGCATTTGCTATCCAAATGTATGGTGGCATTCTTTAAAATTTGTGTTAAAGCCACAGAGGAGAAACAGTAATTAGTTTTTTAATTATTGGATAGTTTATTTTTAGAACAAAATTTTCTCACAGAGAACTCAGCATTTCAAAATGGCAGTAGATTGTAATAGAACAGGAAAATAAACAGATTTTTTGTTACTTTGGAGAAGTGATGCTCCACCTGATGGTTACACAAAGCATTTTCAGAGGTGAGTCTGTATGTTATATATTCACCGTGAGCTGAAGTTTGGTTTGAAGAACAGGTTTGGAGAAACCTGGTTTATGCATTCTTAGCACTACTGTGCTTTTTTTTAAATTTTTTATTTTTTAATATGTTTTTTCTCTGTGGGAAAAGATTGGGTGTGGTTTTTTTTGTTTTGTTTTGTTTTGTTTTTTTTCTGTTAGATCATACCTCAAGGATTTTGGATGAGTCAGGCATTATTGTTGACCTTCCCAGAATTTAATTCATTATATTTAAGTAACTTAATCTGTCTCTGTCTCCCACTGTGGTTCCTAACCTGAAGAATTTGAACAATAGAAATTCACTATGTCATCAAATTCTTGCGAGGTAAAATCCATTCTTGTGGAGAGATGTTATAATGTGGTGATAAGTGCTGTAGAAATGCATTTTGTATGTGTCTGTATATATAACATTTCGTCATCTGGCATAATACCATTTAGTGCTAATGTCTTTCTGGCATTACCACTGCAGTGTTGTCACAAAGCTGTCTGGAAGTATAGGCTTCATGGGCTTTATGGCACATTTACAAATGGGATGGTAAACACTTTGTGGAGTAGTGGATCCATCCTAACAGTGAAAGGTTACCTGCTGAGACATGAACTGCTGAAGGCATCATCACAATCCTTCTTGATAGTCATCCTAAATTCCAACACAAATTAGGTTTTTTTTTTAATTTGTTTCAATAAATATTCCAGTGCTTTCTGGCAATCCTCCTCTGTTTTCTCATCATAGTTTTCAGGGTGAGAAATATCTTCAAAAATGCCAGCAAATGGTCTGAAGCATTTATTTTTGCTAAATGAAACTCTTGGTTTGCTCTGTTTCCTTCTACAGTGAGATCTGTAGCCTTGCTGTCTAGGTCTTTCAGTATATTTATAGCCTTTTAGATTCATATGCCATTTGGGGGTCTTTTGATATTCTTTTGCCTATACAAGTGTAAATAATTGACCATTGTGTGTAAGTAATTGCACACGCAAATAGGTACCCATCCAATGTTGTGTATTTATAATCAAATTCACAATTCAAATTGGCAACAATTTTATTTTAGATATCAAATAATTATTGTATACTATTATTAATACATGTATTATACTAAAATTTCAAGGAAACTTAATTCATGTATGCATATCAGTATGTGTTTGCAGGAAACAAATTATGCTTTTAAAACTTTGCGGTAGCTTTTAACTCAGGAATTGCTGCATTTCTGTATTACAGCTGAGCATTTTCAACAGAAGTAGAACTATCTTATACTTCAAAATGTAGGTCATTGTATTGGTAAATGTAGGTCAGAGTGAAGGGGAAGAAGGCAGCATGCAAACTCCTCCACATTCATCTTTAAGCTTATCCTTGTTTTGAAGGCAAAGAGGCTTACCTACCTGTTCAAGCACGAGAAGCTTTTCCTTTTACTAAAATTAACACAGGTATTCTTGCTGTTGGCATCTTGGCTTAGCTGGATGCGCTGCGTGCTTCCACACTTGAGACCTGTGCTTGTGAAAGAGCTTCTGACTGCCTCTTCTTTAGCTGCCAGCTGAGGTGATCCCTTCTTTCCTATGGAGTGGGGAAGAGGCACGTATGTTACCAGCCTGAAGAAGAGCATTGTCTTTCCAAAGGTGCTTTTCCCTTCTCTCAGCACAGAGCTATCTGATATTCCTGCAGTTTCAGCCAGTATCAACATTGTAATGGTAGCAGGGGAAAGAAGAGTGACCCCTCATAAAAGATTCAGTGACACCATTTAAAGTGCCCTTTCAATAATAACCATAGAAAAGTGAGAAACGTTTGACTGAGTGCACTGAAAACTCTGATGTTGAAGTATTTTGCTGCATTTGACAAGTATTTTGATAAATTCACTCAGGCTAAAAGTTTACTATGAAAGAGTTCATTTTTTTTATTTTATATTGTGTATGTGTGTAATGTCAGATACGTAGCATTATAAATGTTATTAAATTAGCCATGTCTTCACTAAATATTTTAAAAAACACCACTTTTATTACATGTGTATACACCAGTCATTGCAAGCTGAAACATTCTTTATGTTGTACACTAAAATATTTAAATAGTTATTATATTTATTGCAAAATCTGTCATTTTAGCATATTGCAACGCTCAAAAGCATTGAATTGCTCAAAAGAGAGATGGAAAACCCTGTACTATTCTTAGTGTATGTTTCACTGAAGAATGGGTAATCGTGTGTGAATATTTTATTTTAACCCTTAGCAGTCCAAACAAAATAGCACATTCTTTAATATCTAACCAGCATAACCAGTAAGAAGCAGGACACATAACGTTGCTTTAGTGTTTTTGTCATACATACAAATTGTCAGTCTGGTTTATTTTGTTGGTTTTGTGTGTTGTGTTTTTTGTAACCTGTAAGATCTTCGTCATACAAAAGTCACACGCAAAGTTTTGGCCAAATTCTGCCTAAGCTTTAGTTTGACTTGCATGCAGACAACACATTCATAAATTTTAATCATTTGTCACTGCGGGTAAGGGTCGGTCAGAATATTTATTGGGTGGACAGGAAGAATTATGTATTTGAGGGTTACCATCAAGCTGTAAGTGATTTAAAAGGAAGACAATTTTTCTCCCAAACTTCTGCTTCCATTAAATATGCTGTGATGTTTTAAAGTCTTTGGAGAAGAAACAATTACAAAAAATAGTCTAAAGAGAGGAAGCTACATGGAATTCAATTTCCCTGCCTGGAAACATCTAAAGGATGCTCGCAAATGTCTGTTTTTAAGTTTACTGAAACCACTGAAGTGTCTACAGTTTATAATACTAAGTCAGGCTTCTGTCATAGTAATTTGTAATGCTATGTGTGGTGGGGGGAGGCTAACCCTAGTTTTGACCTGTGGATAGACGTGAAGCATGTTTTCTCATTGCTAAGCAACAACAGATGGAAAACACATACAACTGTAATTTGGCTGCCTATGCCTTTGATTCATCCTCCCTTAAATCCGGGAACCTATCTTAAGTGCCTGAATGTGAGCCTCTTTTCCCTAGGCTCCTCCAGCAATACAGACAGATGCCTGCAGGAGAGCGTTGGGCCTGCAGGATCGCATTCCCCACTCCATGGGCTGCTGTACTTGAGTTAGATTATTCCTGTTAGGTGGGAAACTGGCCCAAAGTAACGGCGAGTTTCTTGAGTGACTGTTGTTGAGAGGGTAAATTTGCATGGATGCCTCTCAGTACGTAACAGGGTTGGAAGCGACCAATGCAAGTTCTGTGCTGGAAACTTATAAAGTCACAAACAGGATGAAGTAGGTGAAAAAATCAGGATTGATCCTGGCTGCTCCCCTATGGAAACTGGTGGGTCTCAAATGGAAAGTGCAAAACAAGAGAGAGAGGTTTATTTATACAGTGCAGTAAAACCGCGGTGCTTTCTGCCATGGGCCATTGCAGCCAAAGAAGATTTACATAAATCAAAAGGACAACCAGAAAAATCTTTTGAGGGCTATGAAACAGAACTTAGGAGTTGTGCCTCAACAGACTGCCAAGGAGGAGAGAAGAGATGATGAAGAATTGTGTGTTCTTATATTAGTCACATGATCGTCCTTAGCATGTTCCTTAGGGTCAGACTGAAGCTAACAATAGCTAAGAGCTCTCCCCAAGAAAAGAAGCAAAATGAAAAGGAACCGGGCAGAAATGATATGGCTAGAGAGGATAACTAACAAAGGAGGCTCCTATCCTCTGTTAGAGACAGGCTACAAGGCAAGATGGACCTGGAATCTGGACTGATAATAGCAGCTTGATGTTCATGTGAATGATTAAATGTCAGGATTCTTTTTTTTTTTAGAATTAAAGTGTATGTAACTTTTAAAGTCTTGACTGTAATACATATTTGTATGCCTGTAAATTTGTGTGTGGGAGTATATCTGTATAAAGTAAATTTCTCTTTCTCTTAGGATGGAGTCTATGAAATCTTCAGCTCGAGTGCTTAGAATCAGAAATGTGCCATTAAAAATTACACTTGTTTTATTCCATGGTACTGTGGCAAGTTTGAAAAATGAAACAATCGGTAAAGATCTGCAAATGTACATGTCAAATTACTTTAGACAAAGAAATATCTATTCTAAGAATGTGAATGTCTTTTGTTTTATAGGTCTCTGGCCATCTGAAGAAGTACTGGCTTACTACTGCCTAAAGCATAGGGAAATATTCAGGTACAGATTTGAACATAAAAAGATATTTTCCAATCTGTTACTTTTATTGTATCTGCATGGTAAAGATTGCTATGATTTAAGTCTTAAGATTAAATTTAAAATGTTCAAGGTGAAAGCATGTTGCTCTTAACAAAGAATTCTGAGCTGCCTTTGGGTACTAATATTGCACAGCAAGCTTTCTGCTATATGTCAAAGACTTTTGATTTCCACTCAAGGCGTTTTATTTCACTTTGATTTTTGGGAAACAAAAGTGAAGCTCCAATCGATCAGTACTGATTGTGAAGGTCAGGAAAAATAAAAGACATTCTTTAAACCAACATCTGTTGCAAAAGCAGACAAAAAATAACCTGATAAAGTACATAATAATTCCTGCATATAGTGATGGAAGAATTTGCACCCCTATTTAAGTTTTATGAAATATTTTTGAGACATCCTACAGTTCTGAATGTTCAATTTTGTTTATTTTTCCTATCTTGTGAACTTGTAGAAGACAAGCAGCCAGTAGAAATGCTGAAAGATAAAACTGTTCTGCATCCACCTCCTCCCACTTGAGTATACAGAGCTTTGCACTTGGAAATTCATATAGTTTCATTGTCTAGGAGCATGAAAGAAGTGTAACAACACTGCATTTGCAGGCCTAAGTTGTGTTCTAAGGAAGGCTATGAGGCTAATACCAAGCAAACCAGCTTGGTGTATGCAAAATCCTACTCTCTGGGTACACTTGGTGTTGGGAAATTAGAGAAGACCAAGCTGTCTAGTCTATGAGTCCTTGCCCTTTACAACAAACCTGAGCTAATTCCTTCAGTTTGCTGACTCCGCTCTGAAGTCAATGATCATAGAATTATAGAATCATTTCAGATAGAAGGGACCCTTTAAAGGCCATCTAGTCCAACTCCACTGCAATGAACAGGGACACTTATGGTTAAATGAGGTTGCTTAGAGTCCCTTACAATCTGACCTTGAGTGTCTCCAAGGTTGGGGCATCCACTACCTCTCTGGGCAGTCTCTCTCAGTGCTTCACCACGCTGATTGTAAAGAACTTTTTCATTATATCCAGTCTAAATCTTCCTTCTTTTGAAACCATTTTCCCCTGTCCTATCACAAGGGACAAGATTTGGCTCTAAATCTTGCCCTGGTTTATACAGCCTCATTTTTGCTCCAGCAGCCACCTGGATGAAACCCACCCTACCAGAGGAGGCAGCTAAGGAACATATTTGTTTCACTTCTGCTGCTGTTGTATTATTCTTGTAGAACTTTACCATCCCAGCACACGTAGCAGCTTGTACACTCTGTTTTCAGAGACTGTTGGCTGTAAAATTCACAGTGCTAGTCACTGAAGTGTGTTTTCCTGCTTTGGGTAACCAAACCTGCAGTGAGCATAGAGGAAATCATAGATTCAATTCCTGAGTTCTTGGGGGTTCTGCCCTATGAAGAACACAACCAGAGCAGAGTTTCTTATTTTAATTCTCATTTATAAATGTCTGTAAAAATTGCTAATATGGGAACTTTGCACTAGAGTGGTTTATGTGTGAATGTGTGTGTCTGTATTTCGTACATGCAAATTTGGTTCTGAATGCACCAAAAGTCCCACACTGGATGCTTTCCTTGTTTGTTTTGGTAAATGAAACAAGTGCCTTGTAAATACTGTAACATATAAGCTTAGGTATATGTACATATAGATCTAACATATGGCTTGGAAAATCAAAATTTATGTGAGGAAAATCCTATAATTATTCTATCTAAACCACAAACTGCAAATTTCCCACGATCTTTTTTTAATTCTCACTGGGTTTATGTCTGGCTTGTTCCTCCAATCTGTGTCCATCTTCCTTCTCATTTCCATTAAATAAGACAAACAATTTGCAAAGAAAATCTGCAGTCTCAGTGAAATAAATCTATGCTACCCAGACAGTGAATATTAGTATGTTGTCATACAGGGTAGTCCAGCGGCCTCAGTGTACAAAATATCAGTGCCTGTATTCTGGTATTGAGGTGGCATCTGAGATGCTCAGCTTAGAATGAGTGGGGAAATGGTATATAGAAATAGATTTTAAATCATGGGTGTTTTAGAGGAGAAGGAGCACCAGAAAGTCTGCCAAGCTGAAATTCCACTTTCTGCCAGTCAAAACTATTTCCGTGGGAACGCTTCTGGCAGCTGTAGCAGTTGCCATAGATTTAGCTGTGAAGCCGTTGTGCTCCCAAACCGAAGCCCTGCCTTGCCCTAACTGCTGCCTCACGCGGTTTCCGTGCTCGCTCAGCATCCCTTCCTTCCTCCCTCCCGCCTCCCTCCTCCCTCCCGGGGCAGGCGGGGGCTGTGGAGAACATTCCTTATGGCTCCCCCTGCAAGCCCCCATCCGGCACACTCTGTGCACCAAATTATTTTTCACTCTCACGTCTTAATAACTGCCTGCTATGGTCTGAGCTAAAAGCAACCTTTTAGACTGTGCATTCAACCCTATGCTTGGGCTCAGCTCGGACTCTTGACGCTAACTTCGTTTGGTTTTCTGTGGCTTAACTGTTTGCAGTTCCTTCCTTGTTCCTAACAGTATTGTTTGTAGGTCACTTGCGGTTTTAAGTGCTAATTGAAGGATCGGATTTCTTCATGGGTAATTGTTTTGTGGCATATGACGTGTTTTAAAACTTCTCTTTTTTAATATCGAAAGGCTTTTGAGCATAACTGTGTAGAGCAATATATAAATAATATTAATTTCTCCATTTACTTCTCTAACTGTTTTTGCAAGAATGAATGTGGATTAACATTGTTATCCTTTCCTAACAATTATCTTTCGCTACTCTAGCTAGTTTAGTTCTAAAAGACAGAGCCATTGACAAGGGAAAAAAGGGAACCTTCTCAGATTTTTCAGCTCAGCGGTGGTAATGTTGCACTGAACACTAATGAGGGAACCCCCACTGGTTTGCCTGCTTTGTGACTTTTCTATTTCATAATTATTTTTAAAACGCAAAACGACATGAGGTAGCCCAGTCATGTCTCTACAACTTCCTGGTAGCTCCGTTCTTACTGCAGATGGCAATTTGTTCTTGTAACATATATGTCTCTCTGACCATTTTCATCTAATTTGTATGGGTTCTACCATTTCCTTTCTCTCTTTCAGGGACCTTGCTGTGTGTGAGCTAGGGGGTGGCATGACATGCTTGGCTGGGCTCATGGTAGGTCTTTTCTCAATTCCAATCCCATTCAGAGGAAGAAACAAAAGGAAAAATGTTCCAGTGCCTCCAACTGCTGGGTCAGAGAACTGTCAACAGCCTCAGCTGCGGTCAAGCTGCAGAGTCTTGAGAGACCTTCTAGATTGACTTGCTTTCGTATCATATTGATTTTATGGTTGCCTCGATGAGCAGAAACATTTTACCTCCGTGTAGTCAATATCTCTTGTTGTGACATTCCAGGCCACGTATGGTCTGTCTTTCATTGCCATAGCTGAAGCTTTTTTTTTTTTTTTTTTTTTTTTTTTTTTTTTTTTTTTTTTTTTTTTTCAGATTGTAGTCCCATTTGCTAAGATACAGAAATAGCCTGGCGAATCACAGTTGGAGCACCATGATATAGCTGCTAATGTTTTGCCTGCATTATTACACCAACAAACATGATCCAGAGCTCTCAGTAATTAGATTCTTTTGAATTAGATTGGCCATTCAGGAGAGTCGTTCACCATTCTCTGGGTTCTGAGTCATGTATTCAGGAGATATTATGTAGCAGTGCAGTGCATTAGACAAGTTTTTATGTCTCTACAAATAAAAGCATATTGTTACACTGATTGGCATTTGACAAACCTGTCGCTCTTATACAATGTGTCGAGGTTACAGCCCAATGTGCGAGCATGTCAAAGCTCACAAAAAAATTACCCTTACAAAGCCATCTGCCTGCAATGCAAAGTTATATGAAGGGCATCAGGCAGTCAGACAGAAGCAAGCTGAAAGGCAGAGTGACAGCCTTGTATGATGGCTCTACTAGATAAACAGAAGCCCGCAAATGAAAGCCTCTCAGAATACCATCATCCGCTGTCACAATGCAATTACGGAACAGAATGATAGCAAGATAGAGGCTCCCGCAAATGGAATGATAAAAGTATTGACTGATTTGATTGAATGATTAAAATAATGCAGACATAAAATGAAAAAAGATTGAAGATTGTTACAGAGAAATAGGTGAGGAAGCATGATACTGAAGGCTTGTCACTCCTGTCTTCACTTCCACACAGACAAGCGTATTTGCTCATTGTTTGCTGTGCTCTTTTTTTCAGGTTGCTATTTCTGCAGATGTCAAAGAAGTTCTGTTAACTGATGGAAATGAAAAGGCCATCAAAAGTATCCTTATTCAGATAGAAAACTGGTTTGCTGTGCTCGTTCGTTTTTACTGGCTGAGTAACAATCGATATAAAGACAGACAGCAAGGGGTATATTAAGAAAAAGTCCCCACATAAGTAATTAAAAAAAAATAGATGCAGAATATCTTGAGCAAAGCTGCAGCTTCCCCCGTTATAAATCTGATATTTTCTTCATTAATTACAAATGTACGTGTTGGTATACAGCAAGTATAGCAGTAAACGTTTGTCTCATGGTTGAGTGCTAAAGGATTGTGTGTGTGTAAGCTGCAGTTACAGAAGGTACAGCAGTGAATCAAATCATTAGCTCTCCTTCGCGTATTCATTTTGCAGGAGAAACTAGGTTTATGGATGATGTTTCATGTTTTTGTTTTTAATTATATTCTTTTTTTAAAAAAATTTCATATATTAGCCTCTTAAAAATGCATAGTATTTTTATATAGCCATAGTGTATTTTGAAATGCATACTTACATTACTGGTATAAGTTATAACTGCCTACCAATTGCCCATTTAGTGTGTCTAAACAATTACTAATTTGTCACAGTGTCCCTTGATGTAAGATGACAAAACTCCTCTGTCCCACGTAGAAAGTATTTTATTATATGTCTTATAATATTATATTAGAATAAATTGCTATTATGCCCTTCTAATTTGAGCACATAGTTCAGAAAATTGAACTGTACTTTGGATAAGCGAGAGAATGAGTGAGCATAATTTGTGGCCACATTAAATATCAGCACAGAACAAGAACAGATATATATAGTGAATACTAATAGCCCTTAGGAATTGAGAGGAAAAAAATGGAAGATATCTATTTGCTTTTTTCCTTGGTAATCTTTCCATTTGCATGTTAAGGCAGACTAGTTTTTCAGGTTTTAGCCCCTGCATCATAAGAATTGTTTAGATTTGGGTTTTGTATGTATTTGAAAGCCAACATGATGAATCTTTAATGAAAAAAATCAGTTAAAGAACGTTGTGGATTAGGAAAACAGCAATTGCTTATGACTGGTAAATCAGATATAACAGTGCGGTGATATTGGCTACTACAGCCAAAAACACTCAAAGGTAACTTAGACAAGTATAATTGCTTACACTTTCACAATTCCATGGAAATCAAGAGCCAATTATATCTTTTAATAGTTGAAGGAAACCTGATAACAGTCTCCTTTTTCTTGAAAATTCAAGTTCTCTGTTGCGTTCCAAGGATTCTTATTTTGCTAAAATATAGCTGACAATAGCCATGAGCTGAGGAGGAAGTACTTACGATTCTTTGCATTTTATACAGCATCTCCTCTCCCAATCCTTCTGTCCTTATGAAAATAAAAAATGTGGGAGAAGAAAAGTGTTTCAAAACTAGTCTAAGAAAATGAACAGACGTCATCTGAAAGCAGTTGTTTAAGAAAAGGTCATTTTACACACAAAAAGCTTCAGGTGAGCTCGGTAATCATCAAGTCAGCAAATAGCTTGTGTAGCAGATTCCACAAACATACCTGAACTTTTTGGAAATTTAGAAGTCACCTTAGCAAGGAAAATGGAGGCACGCTAGAAATATTCAGTAAGTCTTTGGAATTAAAGAAGTTAAAGCACTTTATTTTCTGAAGAAGATGCACTAATATAATCCAATTAGCACAGCTTTTTTTTTTTTTTCAATAAGTTGTAGAAATATCTTTTATTTCTGGAAGTCTTGCAAGAAGTTTTCATCTGCATTCACTGAGTGAATCTCATCACACTGAGATGTGTGATTGGTGGAAGGCTCTAACAGGAATTTATTTTTCTTTTTTTAACATTTGGTGCTCTGAAGGCTCAGCATTCAAAATGCTTTTATTGTGTTGGATTTTACAATGGGCTTAATATTAGCAGGGTGCCAAAGTGCAGCAGACTAAGAACTTTACAGTGTAGGTAGAAAGCATTCTTAAAAGCATACATAATAAAATTTATGTTGCATTTTATGTGTTTTATGGACTTCAATAGTAATTTTATGATCTGTTTTATGGTAATTTTCTTCTGCCTTCTTCTGTATAGTGATTAGCTAGAAAAAGGAGTTCAGGCTAAATTTAGATCTGTTTCAGCCACATCAGACTTAGTGAAATCAGTACGAATTTTTAGTGTAATAGGAAATAGTGTCTGGCTTCAAGTGTCACAGCCTACAGATGATATATTTCTGCTAATTTTTACTACGGCTGGTGTCATTTTTTAATTGTTTAGCGCACCAAATTAAGTTAATGTGGGATAAAATACTGTTTTCTTGTCTAGATTCTGCTCTTCAGGAGCAGTTAATGCCTAGTATTATGTTTTTTATGTAGGTATTATACATTAAAATAATCTCGTTTAAAAATTACTGTTTACATCTTCCCTTTAAATTTCCTAGGAAGCTTAAATTACATGCCAGTCATACTATAATATCCAAAAATTACTTTCCAAAAAGTAAAAGTGGTTGTCAACAAAAAAGAAAAAAATCACTGTCAGAAGCCAGGAAATCACCAAGCAAGCCTGCTAATTATTCTTAATGGGCAAGATGAGCACATTAAGAAACAAATGAATACATCAGTGAAATGTAATTGAAAATCGACCTGGCAATAGTGCATTGCTTCTGAGAATCTGCCTTTGTATTATCATCATCATCATAATTATTGTTGTTTTTGTTGTTGTTATCGCTATTCAGTGAGCGTAACTAACAGCCTTGCTTTGTGAAGTCTCAAGCTTTTGAGGATTTGATTTTTCTTCTAGTTTTTGACATTTCTCACATTATTCTCCATTTCATACTGGCATATGAGGTATTCACGTGCATGTTGTGAATACATATCTGCATTAGGATACGTTATTGAAATATTACAAGCTAATACAATTGATGAATGTGTTAATTTCAAATCATTGTTGTGATTTTAACTGCTACGCTGTAAAATACGTTGCTATATTTTATATTAATCAGGGGTCTTATGCGTGAGGTTTATGGCATTTTTTAATGGATATTATAATTTTAGTTACTTAGCCATTGAAAAGATTTCATTCTAACTCATTCCTTTTCCCTATCATTGGCAGATTTTAATTGTTTAGCAGATCATTCTCACTGCCAAATCAATGAAGTAAAGATGGATAGTCTTGTTTTTTCAGCTTTGTTCAAAACTTTATTGTTCATTTTATCTAAGTTCTTTCATGACATTTTAAATGAAGACAGTTTTTAAAAAGAAAAATATAGATATTTACATCAAATATTGAAGATTTACATAGGCAAAGTATCAAATTCATTCCTCTTTGAAATTTTGGGTGATTTTAATCCCGTTTCAATTTAGGTCATTTCTATGACAGATTTATGCAGAACACTGAAAGCATCTCTTTGCACTTCATCATGGCCATATCTGAAGATACCATTCATTTTTATAAAAAATTGTCTCGTGTCAGAGGGGCTGTGTATCTTCTGCCTTAGCTCTGTTTCACACCATGCAATAGTGACTTGAACTGCTGTCTAAAAGCATCAATAATACAAAACATTGTTGCAGTGCACTATAATGGCCATTAAAATATAGTGTATGGATCTTTCAACAGTCCTGGGAAATTTAGGTTAAAGAGGTCATGTTCAGCCTGAGTGCCTGAAGACATGGGTTTATAAATTATTTTTAAAAAAGCTAGTGTTAACATGGTTACAACAATTATTAATAGTTCTGCCCTTTTTTATAATTTAAGTGAAGTATAGCTAATTTATTGGTAACGTTATTTCTACCTCCACTGAAAAAAACATCATGCGTTGCTCATGGAATTATCTGTGCCTTCCTATTGCTTCACAAGCATTGACCATGCATTACTACTTCCCAATGCATAATATGGAAAAGATTTAAAAAGCATGTGCGAAGTCCAGAGATTTGTTTAAATCACTCCTCTGTCATTTCATCTCTAATTTTTGGCTTCACAAACTACCAGTTGTCTTTTCTTCCACATTGTTTGGATAGGGACTTTCATCTTAAACGGTCAACAAATTTAGGAAGGCCCATTATAAGATTTCAGCATAACAAAGAAAAAGTTACATTAGTCATTTTTAAAATTAGTGTCTGACATTAATGTTTAGTTGTCTTAAAAGAGCACTTGCATCCAACATATTTTGCACACCTCGAAATATCCTCCTCGTTTGCATTGTGTTTCCTGTATTTTAACTAAGAATGAACTATCATTGAGGTCTTTATCAAAACTGTCCTTTTCAGGTAATTTTTGATAGTTGAGAGTGAACCGTTCAAATACATGTGGATTCACACTCGATGCCAGTTAATGTTCTCACAGTTCCTTGGTTACTTGCTATGCCTTTTACTTCCCAGTGGCTTCTCGCTAACTACAAATGATTGATTATGAAGGTTATTTTCCTAGGCATAGGTGACTGAACACTGCTCCCTTTGATTGAAAGCTCTTGCATTGGCCTGCCTGTGTGGCTATCCGAATTTGTTACCTATCTTCCAGGCTGAAAGAGGCAAAGACATGAAGCTGAGGGACTCTTGCAGTGTTTATGGAGAACAAAAGGCATTTGTTGCCTTATGCTCTCCTCTGTACCAGTTCCACAGCTTTCTCAAGAAAGCAAATGAACTAGAAACTCCCTTGCTTACAGGTGAAGGTGCTCCTGATGCATGCTGGATTTCATACAGAGCCAGGAATAAAGGTGCGTACCTTGTGGCAGTACTGGATCTCAAAACCAAAAGCTTCCAAAGCCTCCCTACTGTGATCTAATGATACAGTTGAAAGCAGCACCAACTAAACAGCAAAGTAGCGTGCTAAGAAATTTCTGTAATTCTTATCGTTGTAAATAATAATTCCTTTTAAATATAAGTAAGATAGGGAAATCTTTTTCTGCATCTTCTACAGCTACAGTGCTAGCAGTTCCGGAAATTGAAGTGTTAATGAAGGAACATTCAGTAGAGGTGGGCAACAAGAACAAGAGGCTGGGTAAATTTATGGCAGCCAAACGAGAGTAGCATTATGAAATTTATGCTTCTGCGCAGACTGGCTATTAATGCACTTTGAAGACCATATAGATTAAAGACATTCCGAATATATTACTGATGTAAAAAAGTATTTCTGATTATTTTTATTATTTCTCTAGTTTTATTTATAATTCTTAACAAATACACTACAGATGTAAGTGACATTGTCACAAGAAATGTAATTGCAGGAGTATTTAAGACTCAGAAAGTGTCAAGCTGGTAAGATACTGCTATAGTGTTTTATGGATTGTCGCATGTAATTGTATATTTAGTGTAAATGTGAAATGTGTAGATTTGTGATGTGTTACTTACGCTGACAGAGGTGTGTACAGCAAGAATACGTATGTATCATGGTTTAAGACATGCAAGACAGAAATTTGGAAGTATTAAAAATCAACTCAGTTGTTTCCAAGGGTGTGCTCTGGTGTGTGAGAAGTGTAGAGGTCCAGAGAGTTTGGTTTCCTTCATCTCCAAAACCCTTCCTGATCCACCCTGTAATTGATCCTGTTGAAGTTAGCAATTTAACTATCTATTTCCCTGTTCTCCAGGTGCAGTAGGGCCTGGAAACAGAAGAGAATGTGAAGAGTGTTCATTTTTTCTAATATTTAAAAAGCAAATTTTAAAGTTCTTCATATTTAAGGTAAAGAGTTGTGAAAAAGCACGTGCTCAGAGATGGCTACCTAAGATAAAATAGTGCATGTGTCTGCCTAAAAATTCACTTTTTTTTTTTTTTTTTTCTTTAAAGGACTCTTATTCCAGAAGAAAGGTTCTCAGTCTTATCAAAGTGGCTGAAGTAAAGCTGAAAAGGGGCTAAAAAAACCCAAGTTGTTAGAGCAGAATAAGCTTATTAATGTAGAGGGCTAAGCACATACAATTTCAATGGCTATCATTCACATAATTTATTCTATGCTTATGTAGCCATTCTATGTAGAAGAAATTCTTTTAAGTGAGTTCTTAGGAAAATTCTGCCTTTGTTGGGGTATATGTGAATAGAACTTAGAGAGATATCTAATACTTGCTTCCCAAATAGACAAAGGCCACAAGAGTCCAGGAATAGTCTTTGAGGCTCCATGTGCTGAACACTTGTGAGCAACTTCAGACCTGTGCAGTACATCTGTGCAGAAGCTTAGATTTTGTAGGTTTCCAATTACCATCTACTTTGTATAAGATTTCAGATTTCATCCCTTGTCAAGACTTCAAACCTGGTCTTTTAGATATCAATCAAAAGCACATTTTCTACCCTGTCCTCATTTACATTTATCTAATGCTTAAGGTCATTTGTGATCATTTGAGTGTATTTCAGCATATGGAATCAGTGAATAATAGATTTTGGCTTCATGCTGTGAAGAAAGATTGTGTTTTTACAAGACATGATGTTGTTTACTGGGTGTTAATAATCACTAATTAATAAACATATCCAGACTTTATAAAATATTGCACTATAAGGAGTAAAAATGTCAAGTGTTTAACTTACTAAGTGCAATGGATTTGGGATTGTTGTTTGCATAAAAATAATTAAATTAAAAAATCAAGTGAAGTACTATATAGAAATATAAGGTTCTCATAATAAAACTGAGTTTGATTTTTACTTCTGAAGACTTTTCTAGGTTCGTTGTAGAATTGTAAATTCTCATAGGTGTTCTAATAAGCAGTGGCCATCATTCAACCTTTATTATGCACGTTAATAGTTGCTTTCTCATGTGAAAATTAAGGTTTTTATGTTATTTGTTAAGTGCTAATGGGTGGATCAGTCCTTCAGATTCAGTGATGATGATGACAGTAGCAAAGTTATTTGATCACACCTCAAGGCCTTGAAAAAGCTTAAAATGCTGATGTAGTAGCTGACATATTACTATAACTCTAACTCTTCCTACTACCCCAAACCTGGAGTTTGCGTACTAAAAAACCACAATACAATATAATGTTTTATAGGGAAAAATGCAACACTGACAAGCAGAGTGATATTAAGTGACTTCTTTTACATTGTTTAGGGCTAGCAAGCTCTAAATGGTTCATTTAAGTGACATACTTCAACATCAATTTAATTTGGAGTAGGTACTATGTGTTCCTCACTCTTAAGTGCCATTTAAACAGTGTCCAATGAAAATTATAGTGTTATAACATATAAAAAAATATTAGGCCCTTCTCACTGCATCTCCTTCTCACTTTGGGATCTTACACTCTTTTTCTTGAACAAGGAGTACAACTTATCGGTAGGAGATACAGTTATGATATTTCAGGCATTCAAATCTAGACCTGGAAAAGTTGCCAAAAAGCCTATAACACAAAAAGGAGCAATCCATTATGAGTCAAGTGAAGTTAGCTTAGGACAACCTGCCATACATTTATTTATTTAGATTTATACAAAATGCAATAAATTAGCACTTATCTAACTCTCTGCCAACTCTTGATTGTTGTTTAAAAGTACAGCAATGTAAGCCAAACTGGCAGTTTGACATGTTATGTGTTGTAATAATAGATGTTTAGTAAACAGTATACTTCAGCAATGGTTATGGAATTTTATGCTTATTTTTAGCTTCTAGTAGTATAGTCAGAATTCTTTGCTAATGCTTACTGGGAATAGGCACATAAATAAATGCCACCAAATTACTACAGATGACTTGCCATAAGGAAGTGAATTATTAATATTGTGTGTAGGTTTGATGATTTTCATTTTTCTCACAACTGAGAAATTATCCTTGAACCACTTCAAGTTTATTCCATAACTTAGCCTATGAGTTATCCTGATAGCAATTTTTGTAGCATCAGTTATTACTAGTGCAACATGCATAGCACGTTTGCTTTGAACATATCTACCACTATCAAATTAGGAATAACATTTGTTGAATCTCTGCTCTTTTTTCTTCCTTCTTCATGTGAAAATCTCAGTGAAATAGGGATTTATGCTGTTGAATTTTGAAGAATTGTTGTTATTACATATGACACAATGGAAAAGCTTTATCAGAGAGAAAGCTTTGCAATATATTCTAAAGGTTAACAGCCTTTTTTATTCTCATCTACGAGGGAGATTGTTCTTCCACCAGACTCACTTGTCTGAGAAGACTGACTGTTAAGAACAAAATTTGTATACTTATTGCTGATATGGAGCTCTTAGGAGTTTGTATATTTATTGCCTAAACTCAAAGGAGTTTTAGGCATAGACGAGTCTAGTCTTAGTTGTAAGAGCTGGTCCGGAGATATTACATTTCACATTGCTATAAGCAAGTACATGCAACAGTGAGAGGAATGCTTGTTGCATGATGCACTATTTGATTTATTTAGTAGTAATGTATCATGCACTCTTTGCTTTAGAACTCACACACACACACACAAAATATATATATATAAGTAACCGAAAGTGAGCTTTCTACCAACTATACAATTCCAGTACTTTTCCAGGCAGCAGGAGTTCCAGATATGGTCTGGGAGTGTCTCATTGTCCCAGCTCACTGTACTTGTAACAAAGACAAAAACAGAATGCTGATTTATTCTGAGATCATAAAGTGACCCCTGGAGCTGCACCACCGCAGCTCTCAACAGCAGAGCACTACTACATAGCTATGATTCCATTCTTCTATCAATTACTTCTTTTTCTGTAACTGCCAGCATGTGAATATTTTAATCTTACTGCAATGTTCTTCCAGTAAACCAGCTTTTTAACTGTCCTAATTTCAGTGAATCATGCAACATGTTCTATCAACATATCAACTTTAATAAAAATTCCTAGTTTTTAGCCATCTAATCAATGTGTTGCTAAATTCAAACTTTTTGAAGCATGTTTATTGAATTACTTGTGCTTGTCAGCTTCATAACCCTAAAGGAAATTTCTTTGAACTGCTTCCTCAGTCTCCCTGTGTGGTGTTCTTGCATATACATCTAGGAGAATAGTTTCCTGCTCGTTTGTTAGGAAGAAAAGACTTCTGGTTGCTGCTGTCTTCATTTGATAATTTTATGTATGTGTGGGAAGAAACAACGTCCGTTTGTTGGTGCCCATTGTGTATTTGTAGCGATCAGAGAAAATTCAACTCAAGTGGAGGTCATTCCATACCTCTGATCATACTTGTCCTTTTCTGTTTCTTTCCTGGTTTCAGACTACTGCCTTTCAGATTAGAGTGAACAGTACTGTATTCAAAATGTGTGCAAATTATATGTAGTGGTATAAGTATTCTTTCCGTTCCTCTTCTAAAAATGCCTAACAGTGATTGGCTTTTTGACTGTAGTTGGGCAGTCTTGTAATGTTTTCATGTCATAAAATAAGGAGTTTTCTGGTAATTATAATTTTTCTCCATTTCCTTTATGAGGCCAGGATTATTTTTGCTGTTTTCCACTTTGCACTTTTCCATACAGAATTTCATCTGCCATTTTATTGTCCCAAACCTCAGTTTCATCCTTCTGCAATTCTTTACAGCCTGCTCTTTTCCTTACTATCTTGAATAACCTCATAGTGTCAGCAAACTTTGCTACTTCAGTGCTCATCAGTTGAAAACATGTTAAATAGAACAGGTCCCAGGAAACCCCGTGGATTATCTGTCTCCATTGTGAGAACTGACCATTTACTACTATTCTGTTTCCTGTCTTTTGTTTTATTCTTTAGCCCTGCCAGGACTCTTATCCCATGGCTGTCTACTTTCCTTAAATGTTGTTGGTGAGGGTTTTCTCCAATAGTCTTTTGGAATCAGAAGCAGCCTGTTCTACCCAGTATCACCCTTATCTCAATACTTGTTGAACCCTTTTAAGAACTCCTGAAGTTTTGTAAAGCAGGACTTCTTTTTAAAGAAAACATCTTCCATCATAAAGGGGTTCTGTGATGAAAATGTCTTCAGTTTCTTCTGCAGTTAGTGCACAAAGAATTCATTTCACCTCTCTGAAATGGTGCTATCCTCTGTGAGTTCTCATTCTATATTCTAATCATTAGCTGGCAGGAAGATTTAGAGCAAAAGAAGACTACTGTTAGTATTGTTAGTCTGTCTGACTTAATTTTTAAAGTCTGTGGTCCTTTCTTCATTTGGCTGCAATTTCAGCTTTGGAGGGATGATATCATGCTTCTAATAGTTTTCTTTACTGCTTGACAGTATTACCTGACTTTCAACGACTTCCAACCTTGGTGGTTTTTTGGTGTTTTTTTTGTTTGTTTGTTTGTTTTGTGCATCTCAGCCATTTGTGTAGGTTTAATAAAATTACAGTTTATTGTAGTTTTGTCTATCATCTTTATGTGACCA